TAAGATTAAGGATGACAATCGAGTCATATCGTGTCAGATTCGTGTTGAGTCATAAAATTGTAAGTCTTTTATATTTCTTGTTTGTGTCAGGTTATTTTCAAATTCGTGTCGAGTTATAATCAAGATCGTATTATAAAATTCGTATCAAGTTCGAGTCGAGTCATCATGTTGAGTCGAAAATTTTTACTCCTAGTTAAGATGAAATTTTTTTTTAATTTAAAATTTTCATTTTTATTTTAATTTATTAATTTTTTAAAAAAATATATATATAAATACATATTTTATCATTGTATTTTCATATAAAATTAATATATACATAATATATAGACAAATAAGTTACATTTCAACACAAATAATTAACTTTCTATCCACTTTCTTTCCGATTTTAGAGGGATTAATTTTGGTGAGTTGAAATAAAAATTAATTCATCATTTTTTCATCCTTACCAAATTAATATTTTATTTATCCCTTTAACTTTTCATTCTTTTATTTTTTTATTTTTCAACTTTCCAACGTATTAAACAGAGTATTGAGAGACTCCGGTGCAACTTCTCTAAAAATAAAAGGAAGTCTCCCCAATTTATGCATAGTGTCCTTCCCATGGGGTCTTTATCCCTCGAGTTGAGTCTACATCTTCATTTTATAATATTATCTAATCCAAAACAACACATTTATGTCAACAGCAAGTTTGTTGCTCATAATTTAACTAACAAGAAAAGAAATTTTCAGACAACTTTTTTTAATCAAAAGAACAAAGTATCAGTACAGCTCAAGAACTAACCAGAAAAAATATACAATTTAATTTGTTAAAAAACATAATAATACTATTACATAGCTCCTATCTGATAATGTTTTATGCTGCCTGTCAACTATGTAAGATAACTCTCCACCTTTATCCGCGGCGTTGAATAAAACCTGGCATGAGATAGCTACTGAAAGAGCCAAATTCTGAATCATATGCTATATCTCAAAACCTAGATTACAAATTCTTACACATGAGTCATACTAGCATGAGAGAGAGTGCACCCAAATTTTCACGAAAAAACCCTCAAATTCCAAAAACATTAGCCAACCCTTTCCCACATAAAATTCCACAAAATCAAACAAACCCATCAACCAATTTTGGTCAGAAATCACCACCACCATCTTTGTTCTTCCTCACAAGAGCAAAGTACCCCAAAACAGCACAAAGGGCAGCCACAATATTCCCTTCTTTAATCAAAATCCTAACCACAAACCCAGAAATCTCAGCCGTCAATTTCTTCCCCTCCACCACCACAGTCCTCCTTGGCTTCCCACAAAAAGTCAACAACACAAGAACAGAGATCCATGTCACCATGGTGGCCGGAACCGCCACGGCCAAGGCGGCCGCCATGGAAAGAAGGCCAAAAACGGCCCCAAGAAGCACAGCAGCGTACAAAGCTGGCCACCCAGATGGGGAATTTGAGGTTGATATGGTGGATTCATACCAAGAAAGCACAGATTTGAGGAAATTCCACGAAAATGATAACAAAATGGTGTATACAGCTATAAAGAGACATACCCAAGTTCTTCTTTTGCTCATGATTCTGATGAGTAACATGGGATATGGTGATGGTTGAGACATCGGTGATGATGTTGTGGATGGTTCTTCTTTTATACTGTCTGCCATGGCTGCTTGACTTGCACTTTCTACCTCCTTTTCCTCTCTATTTCTCTATTTATTTTGTTGCAATCTTGGGAAAAAAAAGAAGAGAATATGGTACCGCCGTGAGCAACATACACACAATTATTCTTACCGAAAAAAATAATTTTTTTATTTATAACTAATATTTAAAAAAATATCAGTCTTCCTATCGTTAAAATTATAATTTTTAAATACCAAATTATAACTCGTAATATAAAAATTACAATTGCTCAAAGTAATCTTGTAATCGATCATGATATTTGTGCTCAATCATAAATTTTTCACAACCAATTATAACTTTAATTTTTAAAAGTACAATCTTATTATTAAAAATATAACTTTCAATACCCCTAGTTTTTTTTATTGTACACTTTCCCTACTATGAAGTTTTTTATTTTTTTGAACAATTTACTACGATGAAGTTATTTATACATAAAATACTCACATAATTTGTTTACCTTATTAATCACAACCATTAAATTAATATTGTATTCTAATACATATTGGACAATGNTTTGGGGAGCATCATAACCAAATCGTGGATCCTAAAAACACAAACTCTGGAAAAGATATCAAGAGTGAACCTTTGGACTGCAGGGCCACATAGACCAGTGTTTTAGTTATGGATAGATTGCACCATTGTGCTTTAACAGTTTGCCACTTATTATACTTTCACCCTCAAAATTTTAATTTTATCAATTTCATCCTCTATGTTAATACACTGACTAAGGAGTTATTTGATAAAACCACTTAAAACTTAAAACTGAATACTTTAAACACTTAATAAATTAAACTTGTTTGATAACTTAAAATTCATACTATTTAATATTTTAAACACTTCTTAAAAATAGGCTAAAATTTTAAATAGTAAGCTACCTACTTATCACTTATTGCTGAAAATGTTAGTCAATAAAGATTTTATTAATGTTTTATAATGGACAAATATACTCTCACCATTATTTTGTCATCGCCACTACTACCATTATACATCGCCAGCATCACCATCTTCGTTATCACCACTATCACCACCGCTGCTGCCACCATTACCATCCCACCCAACCATTGTGTCATTGTCACCACCACCATCGTTGTTGTTACTACTACCATTGTGCCACTGTCACCACACTACCACTATTGTCGCCACCACCACCATCACTATCACAATCGTCACTACAATTGTGTTGTTCTTATCACCATTACTATTATGTCACCGCCACCACCACCATTACCACTGTTGCCGCCACCATTATTGTGTCATTGCTACCACCACTACCATTGTCATTGCCGCCACCACCACCACAGTGTTGCCGTCATTACTACCATTGTGTTACTACCTCCACTACCACTAACATTACCATTGTCGCCACTATCACCATTATGTCACCACTACTGTTACTGCCACCTTTGTGATAGTGGTGATAGGAAAAAGACAATTGCGGAAAGATGGTTAAAGAGACCAGTAAAATTAGAATAATAATAATTTTTAAACCTTAACTCCTTATATTTGTCAAACAATTTGATTAATTTCAATACTTAAATTTCAGTTGATATCAAACAGTCTACAAATTAAAAAATTCAACATTTAACACTTAAAACTCGACATTCAATTTTTAGTATTCAACTTTTAATTTATCAAATAGCACCTAACTTTAATCCTTACTTCTAATTGCCATCCAAAAAAGTGATGAAAAAAGAGCACATGAGCTGCATGTGAGGAGTTTGAAGGGCAATACAGTCATTGTCTATACATTTTATGTGTGTCAAACAATGTCCAACGTATTATATGTCAATATTTAATATTTACGTGTAATGTACATAAGAAAGCAAGGTCACATCACGCTTTGCAAGCACCGAATAATTTCTCTCGACTCGGAGTATTTCATGATGTTAACCTTGGTCTAAATAGGACAGGACTAGGCTTGCCCATTGTCCAAACGAAGAAGAAAAGCATAAATGTAAATGTAAGTATCAAAGCTTAAGGGCCAACCACCACAAAAGACTTCTATGGTGAAAACAAGACATAATAATACCCTAATAGATAAAGACGTGAATTTGATCCTCACATTTTATAGAACAAGTGTATGTTCTGTTTCAGATGGACATGATCAATTAATTGAAAGAACAACCGGATTCACTGGCATCCTCAAATTTAGAAAGTATTCTTTTTTTTTTTTAACCTTTCACCGATTTACACACACTTCGCTAATCCCATTTTAATTCAGTCAAAAGTGGACTATCAACTTCGAAACTAAGATATTAATCAGAGATTTATTCCTCGGGTTCTGAGGATCCCTATAACAAAGTTTAGATTATCTCCCATTCACTTTTCTCTCGTGGTTGGCATAGAAATGACTTGAATAAAAAAAATTATCCAAGTCCACATACAAATGACTAATGTTCCTTTTAATAGGAAGGATGAAAAGTTGGAGGAGGGATACATCTTTTATTATTCAAAAATAAAAAATAAAAATGATACACTTTCTTTTATTTGTGTTTAGTTGGATGGATAGAAAAATAAAAATAACTAATTTTTTTTTTGTGTTGGCTAAGATTAATGATGACAATCGAGTCATATCGTGTCAGATTCGTGTTGAGTCATAAAATTGTAAGTCTTTTATATTTCTTGTTTGTGTCAGGTTATTTTCAAATTCGTGTCGAGTTATAATCAAGATCGTATTATAAAATTCGTATCAAGTTCGAGTCGAGTCATCATGTTGAGTCGAAAATTTTTACTCCTAGTTAAGATGAAATTTTTTTTTAATTTAAAATTTTTATTTTTATTTTAATTTTTTAATTTTTAAAAAAATATATATATAAATACATATTTTATCATTGTATTTTCATATAAAATTAATATATACATAATATATAGACAAATAAGTTACATTTCAACACAAATAATTAACTTTCTATCCACTTTCTTTCCGATTTTAGAGGGATTAATTTTGGTGAGTTGAAATAAAAATTAATTCATCCATTTTTCCATCCTTACCAAATTAATATTTTATTTATCCCTTTAACTTTTCATTTTTTTATTTTTTTATTTTTTTATTTTTCAACTTTCCAACGTATTAAACAGAGTATTGAGAGACTCCGGTGCAACTTCTCTAAAAATAAAAGGAAGTCTCCCCAATTTATGCATAGTGTCCTTCCCATGGGGTCTTTATCCCTCGAGTTGAGTCTACATCTTCATTTTATAATATTATCTAATCCAAAACAACACATTTATGTCAACAGCAAGTTTGTTGCTCATAATTTAACTAACAAGAAAAGAAATTTTCAGACAACTTTTTTTAATCAAAAGAACAAAGTATCAGTACAGCTCAAGAACTAACCAGAAAAAATATACAATTTAATTTGTTAAAAAACATAATAATACTATTACATAGCTCCTATCTGATAATGTTTTATGCTGCCTGTCAACTATGTAAGATAACTCTCCACCTTTATCCGCGGCGTTGAATAAAACCTGGCATGAGATAGCTACTGAAAGAGCCAAATTCTGAATCATATGCTATATCTCAAAACCTAGATTACAAATTCTTACACATGAGTCATACTAGCATGAGAGAGAGTGCACCCAAATTTTCACGAAAAAACCCTCAAATTCCAAAAACATTAGCCAACCCTTTCCCACATAAAATTCCACAAAATCAAACAAACCCATCAACCAATTTTGGTCAGAAATCACCACCACCATCTTTGTTCTTCCTCACAAGAGCAAAGTACCCCAAAACAGCACAAAGGGCAGCCACAATATTCCCTTCTTTAATCAAAATCCTAACCACAAACCCAGAAATCTCAGCCGTCAATTTCTTCCCCTCCACCACCACAGTCCTCCTTGGCTTCCCACAAAAAGTCAACAACACAAGAACAGAGATCCATGTCACCATGGTGGCCGGAACCGCCACGGCCAAGGCGGCCGCCATGGAAAGAAGGCCAAAAACGGCCCCAAGAAGCACAGCAGCGTACAAAGCTGGCCACCCAGATGGGGAATTTGAGGTTGATATGGTGGATTCATACCAAGAAAGCACAGATTTGAGGAAATTCCACGAAAATGATAACAAAATGGTGTATACAGCTATAAAGAGACATACCCAAGTTCTTCTTTTGCTCATGATTCTGATGAGTAACATGGGATATGGTGATGGTTGAGACATCGGTGATGATGTTGTGGATGGTTCTTCTTTTATACTGTCTGCCATGGCTGCTTGACTTGCACTTTCTACCTCCTTTTCCTCTCTATTTCTCTATTTATTTTGTTGCAATCTTGGGAAAAAAAAGAAGAGAATATGGTACCGCCGTGAGCAACATACACACAATTATTCTTACCGAAAAAAATAATTTTTTTATTTATAACTAATATTTAAAAAAATATCAGTCTTCCTATCGTTAAAATTATAATTTTTAAATACCAAATTATAACTCGTAATATAAAAATTACAATTGCTCAAAGTAATCTTGTAATCGATCATGATATTTGTGCTCAATCATAAATTTTTCACAACCAATTATAACTTTAATTTTTAAAAGTACAATCTTATTATTAAAAATATAACTTTCAATACCCCTAGTTTTTTTTATTGTACACTTTCCCTACTATGAAGTTTTTTATTTTTTTGAACAATTTACTACGATGAAGTTATTTATACATAAAATACTCACATAATTTGTTTACCTTATTAATCACAACCATTAAATTAATATTGTATTCTAATACATATTGGACAATGTTACTAGGAGTATTAATCGAGATNCCCTACTATGAAGTTTTTTTTTTTTTTTGAACAATTTACTACGATGAAGTTATTTATACCTAAAATACTCACATAATTTGTTTACCTTATTAATCACAACCATTAAATTAATATTGTATTCTAATACATATTGGACAATGTTACTAGGAGTATTAATCGAGATGAGCTATTCAAGCTCAGCTCACAACTCGACTCGGGTTTCAAATAAGTTAAGGTTAAACAATTTNTAACTTAAAATTCATACTATTTAATATTTTAAACACTTCTTAAAAATAGGCTAAAATTTTAAATAGTAAGCTACCTACTTATCACTTATTGCTGAAAATANGCTCAGCTCACAACTCGACTCGGGTTTCAAATAAGTTAAGGTTAAACAATTTTTTAAATTCTTTTAGAAATACGAGCTTAAAAAGGTTCGATTCAAGCTTACAAAACTCGGCTCGTTTNGTTCAGCTCACAACTCGACTCGGGTTTCAAATAAGTTAAGGTTAAACAATTTTTTAAATTCGTTTAGAAATACGAGCTTAAAAAGGTTCGATTCAAGCTTACAAAACTCGGCTCGTTTNTGTTAGTCAATAAAGATTTTATTAATGTTTTATAATGGACAAATATACTCTCACCATTATTTTGTCATCGCCACTACTACCATTATACATCGCCAGCATCACCATCTTCGTTATCACCACTATCACCACCGCTGCTGCCACCATTACCATCCCACCCAACCATTGTGTCATTGTCACCACCACCATCGTTGTTGTTACTACTACCATTGTGCCACTGTCACCACNTATTAGTCAATAAAGATTTTATTAATTTTTCATAATGGACAAATATACTCTCACCATTATTTTGTCATCGCCACTACTACCATTGTACATCGCCAGCATCACCATCTTCGCTATCACCACTATCACCACCGTTGCTGCCACCATTACCATCCCACCCAACCATTGTGCCATTGTCACCACCACCATCGTTGTTGTTACTACTACCATTGTGCCACTGTCACCACNTTGTATATAAAATAGTCGAGTTACTCAGGTTCAGCTCGAATTCTAAACAAACTAAAATTGAACAATTTTTTAGACTTGTTTAAAAAAATAACATAGTCAAGCTTATGTTCAAATTCAACTCGATTAACATCCATAAATGTTACATAGTCTTGAAAAACTAACTTGATCAATTATTGTCATTGATTTAGTTGTGGATTCTTATATTTATTAACTCAAAATTTATTCAATAATTGTGATACATCAAATTAAAAAATCATGTCAATTTTTTAAGTATAAATAATATTTTTCATAAATATAAAATTAATAAATTATGTCGGTATTTTATGGACAAATAGCATTCCTCTTACAGTTTGGGTATTGTTTGGTGAGCCGTGAGCATCAGTTATATTCCTGTCTTACTGATGACAATAAGAGAGTGAAGTCTGCAGTGAAAACCAAACGCTTTTTTCATTGGCCCGTGATGATTACGTTTGCAAGTTTGAACAGTACTATACCATAGAATTTGAGGAAGAGTGGAAGACTACGGTATTGACTCTACTTTAAAAAGTGTAAGTTAATCTTTAAAAATAATAATTTATGCTACAACACGTGACAATCCTAACATGATGTAACTGTTTTGCTTAATATTTACTTGCTAATCTAATCTTTTATTAGACTGGCAATTGGTGATCCGGTAATTAATTACGGCATGGTACCGAAATTTTTTNAGAGCATGAATGAACGATTGATTCGGGGGAAGTTAGGGGTAAGATTGGTGAGTATCTAAGCATAAACCGTGACTAAGCCTACGGAATATCAAAGACTCACCAAGTTATCCACCCTCAACCCAATCAAACCGAACCATTGAACTCTGAAAGAGGGGAGGAGAATGAGATGAAATGGAATACCCAAGTGTAGGTTCCTCTTGGTTTTGCCAACTAAGAGATTTAGCTATTCATGNACACTACCACTATTGTCGCCACCACCACCATCACTATCACAATCGTCACTACAATTGTGTTGTTCTCATCACCACTACTATTATGTCACCGCCACCACCACCATTACCACTGTTGCCGCCACCATTATTGTGTCATTGCTACCACCACTACCATTGTCATTGCCGCCACCACCACCACAGTGTTGCCGTCATTACTACCATTGTGTTACTACCTCCACTACCACTAACATTACCATTGTCGCCACTATCACCATTATGTCACCACTACTGTTACTGCCACCTNTTTTGGGTACTCTAATTATAACTGCAAGTTGGGTGCTTGAGTTTTTTCTTTTTTAGTGGTCTTGTGGTGAGGGTGGTGGAAGAAATGAATCAAGAAATNTGTTGGGTACTCTAATTATAACTGCCAGTTGGGTGCTTGAATTTTTCTTTTTTAGTGGTCTTGTGGTGAGGGTGGTGGAAGAAATGAATCAAGAAATGATCAAAGCACATTGATTTGGACTTAGGACCATAAAGCAACAAAAACAGAGGCATTGAGGATGTCACCTTTATAACTGTTCTGAATGCTTTTGCTTCAGGTTTTATTCTCTCTGGTTACTTATTTGGGTTGCTAAACTCTTCTACTTTTCAGCCTGCAGATTCCTTGTGTGTTTAGTGTCAAAGAAAAATGTTGCTCTTGAACATTTTTTTGGGNTGTTCTGAATGCTTTTGCTTCAGGTTTTATTCTCTCTGGTTACTTATTTGGGTTGCTAAACTCTTCTACTTTCCAGCCTGCAGATTCCTTGTGTGTTTAGTGTCAAAGAAAAATGTTGCTCTTGAACATTTTTTTGGGGAAAGAACTTGCCCATGACTTACGATTGACGACCACAACCCATGACTTACTATTCAGTTTAATGCTTAAGTGTTATCGGTCATCACTTATCATACGTTCACGAGTTGTGACAAGTTTTGTCGACTATCATCTGATTATTTTTCTTTAACTTGACTTTTTCAATTATCTTTTCTTTATCTCTTGTATTTTTAAATGTAACTTGAAATCAGGATATAAAATGGGAAATCTTAACTTGAAATTTGAATATAAACCTTAAAACCTGAAGATTGAAATGAAATCGGGATATAAGCATTACATATAAGGATACGTAAAAGGTATAAAATTTAGAGATGTGGACAACACAGTTCACACCTTATGAAAGAGCTGAATTTTCTTAGTTTTTGGTTACTTTATCTCTATGAAAACCAAAAACAAAAAAGCTGGCTCTATCTCTGGTTTCCTTCTAGCTGCTAAGGAGCCGCTCTCAAACAAGTTTTGAACCCCTAACCTTGTGTAGTTTGATTCGTGACCATAAAGTAAACTTCGAATGTGGCAGTAAAATAAACTTAGAATATTGCTAATCACCCACAAACCACACTAATGGGGTGAACAAGAGTGCCTCTTGTGAGTTGAACTTAGAATGTCGAGGTAATGACCATTGAGACTTCCCCATCCAACGCGATGGGTTCGTTTGCCTACATTTGTTCCCCTTGGGAGAAGGAGCTACTCCACTGAAACAGACATCCGGTACAAGTCAACCGCAACACCTTTCGGTTCCTCTCCACCAGTGCAATAAAAGTTGGGCATTAGCATCCAGCTCCAATTCCTTGCATCCTTTTGGTCGAATTTCACAGGATTCTAATTTTCATCACCCTATGCTTTAATGACAAGTAGATTAAGACCATCAAAGAATGATATCTTATAATGATAAGATTTTGATGTGGACTGTCCATCCAAAACCCAGAGCATCCAATGAGCCTAATGGTTACATGACAGCTCCAGTGACCCCTCTGCAGTCCATCTTCTCTGCAATAGGAATGGACCGCAATCCAAAGAAGGGAGTCCAACAAAGCGCCCAGGTCAGCACAATTCTACTCGGTCATGACAAGCTCAATAGCAAGCGTCCCTGGAGAAAGAAGCTCGTTATTCACGAGATCCCGAACACCTTCCATCGCGCCACATGTCCAGGGGGACAATGGACAACTTCTGCAGCCATTAACAAACGCGTACTCGCTGGAAAAAAGAATATTTGTGCACATTCCATTGAAGGACCGTAGATACAATTTGTGTCAAGGTAACGGTCACCACTACAAGACAAAAAAGAAGGGACCACAGAATCAACCGAGGGAAGAAGAAGATCGCAAAAAATCCTAAATGAATACTTGTATATATAATACCTTGACACTATAAAAGAAAGATATATGAGAAAAACATGTACTCACGAGCCACCGTTCACACGAGCTCTAAGCTAAGAAACTTATTGTAACCTTCTTTTTCTTCAAGTAATATAAATCATATGGAGCAAGAGTCTCTATTACAGTGAACATAATCCTGGTCTTTCAGTTAGGGTGAATCACTTATATATCGTCTTTGATCTAACTTTATCATTCATTTCCTCTCTATTAACTCAGAGATTTTTACTCCCCTCCGGGTTCCGTTAAACATTGTTTTGGACTGGACTTAAGCATTTTTGAGCACTATCAATGACAAATTGGGATACAAACTCAATCCAAGAAACAAAAAATAGAATTTTTAGGTGTCGTTTGGTAATCGAGAGTTTACGTTTTTTTTTTCACTATTTTGCAAAAAATAAAAAGTAACGTGTTTGTGATGTGTTTTTATTTTTTTTAAGCCACATTGTTTTGAAATTACAGTCAAAATCTACAAACATAAAAAATGATGTTTTTNAATTTAATTTGTTAAAAAACATAATAATACTATTACATAGCTCCTATCTGATAATGTTTTATGCTGCCTGTCAACTATGTAAGATAACTCTCCACCTTTATCCGCGGCGTTGAATAAAACCTGGCATGAGATAGCTACTGAAAGAGCCAAATTCTGAATCATATGCTATATCTCAAAACCTAGATTACAAATTCTTACACATGAGTCATACTAGCATGAGAGAGAGTGCACCCAAATTTTCACGAAAAAACCCTCAAATTCCAAAAACATTAGCCAACCCTTTCCCACATAAAATTCCACAAAATCAAACAAACCCATCAACCAATTTTGGTCAGAAATCACCACCACCATCTTTGTTCTTCCTCACAAGAGCAAAGTACCCCAAAACAGCACAAAGGGCAGCCACAATATTCCCTTCTTTAATCAAAANATTTTAATTTGTTAAAAAACATTATAATACTATTACATAGCTCCTATCTGATTATGTTTTATGCTGCCTGTCAACTATGTAAGATAACTCTCCACCTTTATCCGCAGCGTTGAATAAAACCTGGCATGAGATAGCTACTGAAAGAGCCAAATTCTGAATCATATGCTATATCTCAAAACCTAGATTACAAATTCTTACACATGAGTCATACTAGCATGAGAGAGAGTGCACCCAAATTTTCACGAAAAAACCCTCAAATTCCAAAAACATTAGCCAACCCTTTCCCACATAAAATTCCACAAAATCAAACAAACCCATCAACCAATTTTGGTCAGAAATCACCACCACCATCTTTGTTCTTCCTCACAAGAGCAAAGTACCCCAAAACAGCACAAAGGGCAGCCACAATATTCCCTTCTTTAATCAAAATCCTAACCACAAACCCAGAAATCTCAGCCGTCAATTTCTTCCCCTCCACCACCACAGTCCTCCTTGGCTTCCCACAAAAAGTCAACAACACAAGAACAGAGATCCATGTCACCATGGTGGCCGGAACCGCCACGGCCAAGGCGGCCGCCATGGAAAGAAGGCCAAAAACGGCCCCAAGAAGCACAGCAGCGTACAAAGCTGGCCACCCAGATGGGGAATTTGAGGTTGATATGGTGGATTCATACCAAGAAAGCACAGATTTGAGGAAATTCCACGAAAATGATAACAAAATGGTGTATACAGCTATAAAGAGACATACCCAAGTTCTTCTTTTGCTCATGATTCTGATGAGTAACATGGGATATGGTGATGGTTGAGACATCGGTGATGATGTTGTGGATGGTTCTTCTTTTATACTGTCTGCCATGGCTGCTTGACTTGCACTTTCTACCTCCTTTTCCTCTCTATTTCTCTATTTATTTTGTTGCAATCTTGGGAAAAAAAAGAAGAGAATATGGTACCGCCGTGAGCAACATACACACAATTATTCTTACCGAAAAAAATAATTTTTTTATTTATAACTAATATTTAAAAAAATATCAGTCTTCCTATCGTTAAAATTATAATTTTTAAATACCAAATTATAACTCGTAATATAAAAATTACAATTGCTCAAAGTAATCTTGTAATCGATCATGATATTTGTGCTCAATCATAAATTTTTCACAACCAATTATAACTTTAATTTTTAAAAGTACAATCTTATTATTAAAAATATAACTTTCAATACCCCTAGTTTTTTTTATTGTACACTTTCCCTACTATGAAGTTTTTTATTTTTTTGAACAATTTACTACGATGAAGTTATTTATACATAAAATACTCACATAATTTGTTTACCTTATTAATCACAACCATTAAATTAATATTGTATTCTAATACATATTGGACAATGTTACTAGGAGTATTAATCGAGATGAGCTATTCAAGTTCAGCTCACAACTCGACTCGGGTTTCAAATAAGTTAAGGTTAAACAATTTTTTAAATTCGTTTAGAAATACGAGCTTAAAAAGGTTCGATTCAAGCTTACAAAACTCGGCTCGTTTGTATATAAAATAGTCGAGTTACTCAGGTTCAGCTCGAATTCTAAACAAACTAAAATTGAACAATTTTTTAGACTTGTTTAAAAAAATAACATAGTCAAGCTTATGTTCAAATTCAACTCGATTAACATCCATAAATGTTACATAGTCTTGAAAAACTAACTTGATCAATTATTGTCATTGATTTAGTTGTGGATTCTTATATTTATTAACTCAAAATTTATTCAATAATTGTGATACATCAAATTAAAAAATCATGTCAATTTTTTTAGTATAAATAATATTTTTCATAAATATAAAATTAATAAATTATGTCGGTATTTTATGGACAAATAGCATTCCTCTTACAGTTTGGGTATTGTTTGGTGAGCCGTGAGCATCAGTTATATTCCTGTCTTACTGATGACAATAAGAGAGTGAAGTCTGCAGTGAAAACCAAACGCTTTTTTCATTGGCCCGTGATGATTACGTTTGCAAGTTTGAACAGTACTATACCATAGAATTTGAGGAAGAGTGGAAGACTACGGTATTGACTCTACTTTAAAAAGTGTAAGTTAATCTTTAAAAATAATAATTTATGCTACAACACGTGACAATCCTAACATGATGTAACTGTTTTGCTTAATATTTACTTGCTAATCTAATCTTTTATTAGACTGGCAATTGGTGATCCGGTAATTAATTACGGCATGGTACCGAAATTTTTTTTGGGTACTCTAATTATAACTGCAAGTTGGGTGCTTGAGTTTTTTCTTTTTTAGTGGTCTTGTGGTGAGGGTGGTGGAAGAAATGAATCAAGAAATGATCAAAGCACATTGATTTGGACTTAGGACCATAAAGCAACAAAAACAGAGGCATTGAGGATGTCACCTTTATAACTGTTCTGAATGCTTTTGCTTCAGGTTTTATTCTCTCTGGTTACTTATTTGGGTTGCTAAACTCTTCTACTTTCCAGCCTGCAGATTCCTTGTGTGTTTAGTGTCAAAGAAAAATGTTGCTCTTGAACATTTTTTTGGGGAAAGAACTTGCCCATGACTTACGATTGACGACCACAACCCATGACTTACTATTTAGTTTAATGCTTAAGTGTTATCAGTCATCACTTATCATACGTTCACGAGTTGTGACAAGTTTTGTCGACTATCATCTGATTATTTTTCTTTAACTTGACTTTTTCAATTATCTTTTCTTTATCTCTTGTATTTTTAAATGTAACTTGAAATCAGGATATAAAATGGGAAATCTTAACTTGAAATTTGAATATAAACCTTAAAACCTGAAGATTGAAATGAAATCGGGATATAAGCATTACATATAAGGATACGTAAAAGGTATAAAATTTAGAGACGTGGACAACACAGTTCACACCTTATGAAAGAGCTGAATTTTCTTAGTTTTTGGTTACTTTATCTCTATGAAAACCAAAAACAAAAAAGCTGGCTCTATCTCTGGTTTCCTTCTAGCTGCTAAGGAGCCGCTCTCAAACAAGTTTTGAACCCCTAACCTTGTGTAGTTTGATTCGTGACCATAAAGTAAACTTCGAATGTGGCAGTAAAATAAACTTAGAATATTGCTAATCACCCACAAACCACACTAATGGGGTGAACAAGAGTGCCTCTTGTGAGTTGAACTTAGAATGTCGAGGTAATGACCATTGAGACTTCCCCATCCAACGCGATGGGTTCGTTTGCCTACATTTGTTCCCCTTGGGAGAAGGAGCTACTCCACTGAAACAGACATCCGGTACAAGTCAACCGCAACACCTTTCGGTTCCTCTCCACCAGTGCAATAAAAGTTGGGCATTAGCATCCAGCTCCAATTCCTTGCATCCTTTTGGTCGAATTTCACAGGATTCTAATTTTCATCACCCTATGCTTTAATGACAAGTAGATTAAGACCATCAAAGAATGATATCTTATAATGATAAGATTTTGATGTGGACTGTCCATCCAAAACCCAGAGCATCCAATGAGCCTAATGGTTACATGACAGCTCCAGTGACCCCTCTGCAGTCCATCTTCTCTGCAATAGGAATGGACCGCAATCCAAAGAAGGGAGTCCAACAAAGCGCCCAGGTCAGCACAATTCTACTCGGTCATGACAAGCTCAATAGCAAGCGTCCCTGGAGAAAGAAGCTCGTTATTCACGAGATCCCGAACACCTTCCATCNTCCACGCCAAAATTAAAATATTTTCAAAAGTAATAAATCTGTTTTAACCTGACGCAAAAAAATGTTATTTGGTAACAAAAGTATTTTACAAAACTCAAATCTCAAAAGGCTGACAATGTTGACCAAAAAAAAACAGCTGACAAAAAAAATTGATTTCAGAGAAAGACTTAAAAAAAACAAGAGGATAAATCAAAGATCTTTTTATAATGGATATATTTCATTCATTACATTTAATTTTATTACATGAATATTTTCTCATATTTTAAAAATAATATTGAGACCCCAATACGTGAACGACGTTAACAATATTATTGAAAAGATTATTTTATTCTTAATTAATTGATCATACCCATGCCTAGATCTAAACCCATAGCCCCTATGCCCAAGACATGACCCCGTGGCCTATGACCTAANTTCACACCAAAATTAAAATATATTCAAAAGTAATAAATCTGTTTTAACCTGACGCAAAAAAATGTTATTTGGTAACAAAACTATTTTACAAAACTCAAATCTCAAAAGGCTGACAATGTTGACCCAAAAAAAACAGCTGACAAAAAAAATTGATTTCAGAGAAAGACTTAACAAAAACAAGAGGATAAATCAAAGATCTTTTTATAATGGATATATTTCATTCATTACATTTAATTTTGTTACATGAATATTTTCTCATATTTTAAAAATAATATTGAGACCCCAATAGGTGAACGACGTTAACAATATTATTGAAAAGATTATTTTATTCTTAATTAATTGATCATACCCATGCCTAGATCTAAACCCATAGCCCCTATGCCCAAGACATGACCCCGTGGCCTATGACCTAAAACTCTCGATGCCCAAAGCCCTAACAATTAGTCACCAACTATTTTCACATTTTGTCATGCACCACCCCAACCTCCACCGTTCATAGGCACCACTCTCTCTCTATGTATGTAGTTTCCCACAACTCTAATCTCCTCTCAATCTCATTCTGGCTCCCATACACAGTCGTTTTAGGAGGAGGCACCACCACCATTGAACTGACCCTACATGACTCACAGCAAACTCTCTCAACACTCTAAAAGTAAATCTGAAGCACAAATCAGAGATCGTTGACAAAACTTGCTCAAACAGATCGAAGATCGCAGATCGCGTCTGTGTGTTTATGTATGAGAGGGAGGGAGGGATAAATGTCGTGCACGATGCAGATGTGGTTGTTAGTGGTGGTTTGGATGCATTTTTGTGGTGGCAATGGTGAGTAAAGGNGCATATCGCATATCGCATATCGCGTCTGTGTGTTTATGTATGAGAGGGAGGGAGGGATAAATGTCGTGCACGATGCAGATGTGGTTGTTAGTGGTGGTTTGGATGCATTTTTGTGGTGGCAATGGTGAGTAANGAAGATCGCAGATCGCGTCTGTGTGTTTATGTATGAGAGGGAGGGAGGGATAAATGTCGTGCACGATGCAGATGTGGTTGTTAGTGGTGGTTTGGATGCATTTTTGTGGTGGCAATGGTGAGTAAAGGTGGTTGGTGGTGGTGGTGGATGATGGGTTTGATCTAAATGGTTTGGTGTTGTTTGAAGATGGGTTAGGTCTAGGTGATNATGCAGATGTGGTTGTTAGTGGTGGTTTGGATGCATTTTTGTGGTGGCAATGGTGAGTAAAGGTGGTTGGTGGTGGTGGTGGATGATGGGTTTGATCTAAATGGTTTGGTGTTGTTTGAAGATGGGTTAGGTCTAGGTGATGGTTTTAGTGGTGGTGGAGGTGGAGGTAGTTTTCAGTGGGTTGTTGTCTCTCTTTCTCTGGCGATTTTTGTGGTAGTGGAGGCGGAGGTGGTTTTTTCAGTAGGTTGTTCTCTCTCTCTCTCTGTCGCTCTATGCTATCTCCTATTGTGATTGGGTTTAGGCGGTGGTGTATATGGTCGAATCGATGGTGATGGGTGGCGCCAGCGGGAGGAAGAATTTATGTAATTAGATAAATAATAAATAAAATTAAAATTAATATGAGATAATTGAATAGGTAGTTATTAAGATTTTAACTTATTAATTTGATAGATTTGGACATTAAACATGTAAGGGTTAAAATTTTAATTTAAATATGAAATAAATGAGGGATAAATTTGTAGGGTCAGAAAAAATATATATTTAAATTCTTAAATTTAATTTTAGA